TTCTTGATCTGGAGTACCTCCTCTATCCCTACATACCCATTTTAACCCCGAAATCGGGGGATGCTATTCTAAATCGCATCCTCAAACAGGGCTAAAACTGCGCTCTGCTCTATTTAATGAATACATACATATTTGTCAGAATTATTAGTAATTTTTTTTAAATATTATGGTGTGGATATACAGTAATATTTAATTTAAAAGATACTTTTTTTTTAAATAAAGCTTTGAGACTATTCCTGTAGAGCTCACATGACAGATAAGTAACACAAATTATTTTGCTTTTTGGATTTGATTCATTGCATTGCTCAYACGTTTGGGATTGTTTTACCAATAAGAAAAAATCAAACCTAGACGGTTCTCGTGACTTTTTTATGCCAAAGGAGCGGAGTCCGCTGATATCGTTCCGCAACCACCGTATTGGTTCCGTGCGACTTATGGATATTTAGAAAACTAAACAATGCGTCAACGTCTTTTTAACACATTTGCGGAGATAAAGCCTGAATCGAAGAATGTGTTGAAGGCTATCCTGGAAAAATACTATTTCGAATGTTTCGAAATAATCAAAATTGGTGGCTTTGTGCAAAAGAATCAGCTAGCGAACTAAAGTAATTTTGTTTATTAATAGTTTTATTAGCATATCTTAGATAAAATCATATTAGAGTTGATTTATAATTAATTTACATATGTATATATTTCCCTTTAGTAGTAGTTAGTTCTATGTTCTATTATAAGTACTATTGATACTTTTTCAATTGCATAGCTGTACGCTCAACATAGAGAAGTAATTTTTGTAGTTATAGACAATGCCGTTGACGGTTTTGTTATTTCAGTCGACTCTGACCTACTGGCATCGTTTCGTATAACATTTGTGTTTACATAAATATGCATATGCGGTACCTACGTGTACGTACATATATTAATTTAAGTTAAAAATGCCAATGCTTATATTATTTACTTTGGCGATAAGTTGCTTTCTGAATTTTGTTTAGTTATAACATGTATGTATATATTATAAAAAATGTTCCGGATCTATTCAGTTCCGTGAGAAAACAATAATTATTATATTTTCCTCTTGATATTTATGCTAAATAATTTAATTTTTATAAGCGTCCTCTAGAATTAAAAAAAAAAAAAAATATCAGCAACAGAACTGACCACTTTCAATCATTGTCAGTTAACATGGTGTGTATGATAAGTAGTAGTAGTAAACTCATTGATATCCCAATTTATACATACCTTAAGAAAAATGATCAAGAAATATTTCGTGGTCTTACCGTTTACTGTTTACTTTGTTTTATGTTGCACATTGTTAAACATATTTAATAGGGTACCATCGGTCTAATGAACGCAGGTGAAACGCCTTTTACCGAATTTAGTCGGTGCGCRCACGCTCCGAAACACAGTCGCGGGGGAAGAAAGTCAATCCTATTACTTTCCTTACAAACCTGTTATTCTCGAAATATATTGCTACAGACTATAATAGTTTTGTTCCTATTGAGATATATATACAATTATATAGCTATATCTATATTTTACATTACCTGTAAAATATGAAACGGTGCTTAATTGGAATCGTTTAAAAATCGGATAGTGGACATGAAACACCTCTCAGACATGACTCGACTTTTTCAACCAAGTGTTGAGCATAATAATCATGATATATATATATGTATATATATGTAATAACTAAATTAATCTATGTTTTAATTGTAATATAAGTTAATAAGAACAATTTGTATGCTCTTGCAACATATTGACTTTAGAATGATAAAATTGCATAACAATGGTCAAGCCAGCTGAAATATTTTACGGTGAAAATAACCACTTCAAGAATACAATGATAGGAAATATAGGAACAGACTCTGTACACAATGAAAGCAAGAAAACCATACTCTACTAATATATTGGCCATCACCGCCACCATTTAATATGTCATTGCGATAGAAAATGCTTGGGCCTTTTAAGTATTGAATAAACTCCAGTAAAACAAGTAAGAAGGWMTAAGTTCGGGTGCAAACGAACATTTTATACTCTTGAGAGGAAAATATCTCAAGGTGTAAAGCGTGAGCTAGAGAATCGGAATCCATATATATATATATATATATATATATATACACATATATATACACATATACATATATATATATATATATATAGTAGGTGTGGCTGCAGTTTGATTTAGCGCGTTTTCGCACTATGACATACATAGGTGCTCTTTTCTACTGCAAGCACCTGTACTCCTGTACTAAATTACAGTTCTATAGCTTAATTATAGATTTTCGGTTAATGACGATTTAAGGGCGTGGTAATTGTCCGATTACGCCCATCTACGAATTCCGCCAAGGAACATGTTTGCCAGGTTTAACGAGCTATCACAAGTATTACTCAATTTACCGTTTGCACGGACGGACTGACATACATTCACTTGGATTTCAATTCGTCTCATCTCCTGATCATTTACMTACATACAAGGTGCTTTCCAAAGTAAATAGGACTTAAAAAAAAAGAACAAATGGGTTTTTCGGCAAAATCAATTTATTTTATTCAAAATAGTCTCCTTCTGCTTCAATACAGCTATTTGCACGGTCCAAAATCATGTCGAACGAGTTAGCTCGTTGGSCGGTATGACCGCCAGTATGCCTCTACGTCTGCATAAAGCTTTCCTTTCACGGGCAAATGCATTTTTCCGAAAAGGAATAAGTCGCACGGTGCCACATTAGGTGAATGCGGGGAACACATCTTTCGTAAGCCCGAGTGTTCCATTTCCATGAATTTCTATGATGATTTTAGCTGATTTTTGATGAATTCACCCACAGTTTTTATGGAATTTATGAAAACGGTTGAAACCATTCGTGCACTCTGCTACTAACGTTTAGGTAAAAGTTTTACCAATTTTAAAACCATTCGTGCACTCTGCTACTAACGTTTAGGTAAAAGTTTTACCAATTTTAAAACAAAATTTTATGTTGGCTCTTTGTTCAAAACTCATTTTCGCACCGATAACACAAACATACTGACACTTAAAACGCATAACTTCACTTCCAATCAATGAAATGTCATTAAATTCTCACTGGTTCGAATGGTTCGCTATATTCAAAAAGTCTTGTTTACTTTGGAAATCTAAATTTTACTCGACTAGTTTTTGGTGAAACGTATAACCGTTAGGTGAACAAAACTATATTATACTCTTATACCGTTTAGAAACGAAAACGTTTATATATATTTATTATTGTATTTTTCTTTATGTCGAAAATATGTACAATATAAAATACAAAAGACAACTTTCAAACACATGTCAATTAGTGAACTTATCATATTATTGCTGGGGGCAAATCACTACTTTTTACTATCGAATCACATAATACTAATGAAATTTTTTCGTTATTGTGTGAAAAGTTGACAGCAGTAATCGTTGTATAATCCTCGAAGATAACTATATTGAATAATAAAATCCAATTAAAAAAAAAAAAAACAAGTTTCGTGTTATCCTAAGATCTTTTCCGCCCACCTCTTAGATATTTATGTATATCTGACACAGTAAACCATATCATCAAAGGTTTTAGCTATATTTTGTAACGTTATTTCTTTGCTAATAAGTTACTTATTGAATCACCTAAGTAAATATATCTATTTTTCTCCCTCTTATAGGCTTGGCCCATGTGATTTACCAGATTCGTGGGCACCAAACACAAATAATAGCAACAACAATATTACTAGTATCATTGCAAATAGTAGAGACATCTCATCGTTATCAGCAGTCACAAAAAGTTCATCAAACACGGCTATCCCTCTTAATATTGACAACAATATTAGCTCGAATATTGTGTTCTTCAAGAACCAAAGTAGTCCAACTACAACTGCCATTCAACCGACCACTTCTTTCGGCTTTTCACCAACATCAACGGCAAAAGCAACAGCAACAACATCAACCACTTCCAGTCTTATATACAAGGTGCCTCTCTCATCGCCAGCCGCCGCTACAGCCGCTGTTACTGTTTCACCAGCCAGCATTGGTAGTGTAGTAACGTCTTTAGGTGTGGGTTTGGTACCCTCAATACCGACGTGTGCGTCCCTTACTGGAACGAGTACCGGTGGAACTGGAGCTTTTGCTGGTGTACTGTTATCAAGCCCAATATCAGCTGGTGGCAGTAGCAATAATATTCCGGCTCAAAAAACAATTACAAATTATCAAGTAAACAACGTCAATAAGAACGCAAATAACACCGGCAATACCAGCGTTAGAAGTCTAACACTTCCATTGCAGCAACAACAACTACAATTGCAACAACAAAACGGCTTATTGCTACATAACAAACAGAACAACCAAAACAACAATAACAACTCTTTAGTTAATAATAACCACCATAAAAATAGCAACAATTTTAATTTAATACTGCGRCAGAAGGCTACAGCAACTGTAAGTTTAGCCGCCGCACTGCAAAATTCAATCACCATGAATGCGGTGGCTTCGCCAATCTCAAACAACCCAGCGACGCCGACTCGAAAAATTAGAAGAAAAACTGATCCGAAAGCCAATTTGGTAAGTAATTTTCTTATTTCAAATTATTTTCAGCAATGCGTTAAAAATACTTTTTCAAGAAAAATGTAAATTATTCGAACTGCTCTATAAGTACTTAGCCTACAAAAGAACAACACAATTATTGAAACAAAATTTTAGTTCGATATATTTCACCCAGCGAGGCTTTCATTTATTTAACCTATCAGAGAAATACTTTGTTTTGAGTTCCATGAAAAATTCCTCTGTGGTGGCGATAAGGTCATTCGATTCAATTTTCTGCCTATCGAGTGACTTTTTTCAAATCCATGTATCGTCAATTGTCACGAAATGACGTGGAAACTCCTTCGGGGATATCAAATAAACAGCTTCAAACACTTTTGTAAAGCCATTTCACGGTTAGTCTTGTTGGTGAACTTTAGTAATCCGGCACCCATGTTGTCAACTCTTGCAACAGGTTGCTACAGAGAATAATAGTTTTGTTCAACTAATGGGTGTTTGTATCACCTAAAGCGGATTGAGTTAGATATGGGGTAATTCATACTATATATATATGACGAATGACGAGACTAGTTGAAATCCGGGTCCATGCAAGCCGTTACTTGAGTAAAAATTAAGATATCGTAATGAAACTTGATATATGTATATAAGTAAGTTCCTTGGCGAATAAGTAAGAATGAGTTCATAGATGGGCGTAATCGGCCCACAAAACGACATTAAAAAAATCTTTAAATAACTAAGAACTAAATTAAGATATAGAATGGTAAAACAGGATCGCAATGGTGTGCCCCCTATCTGTAGGTTAAAATTTTTAGAAAGAATAGGYTTGGATAGGCTCTAGGATTAATGTACATGTCTCCTAAACCATTTAAGCCAAAATAACAAAATTCTCTCAAGATAAATTCTATAAGAAAATGGAAATTAATGAAATCGGATCATAACCCTGCACGCTCCCATAGACAGAGACATTAAGTTTTACCATCGATATGGTATCAGCCAGCTTTGTTTACGTTATTCCAAATTTATCTATTCACCCAATTATATTATTTAGTTTTATAACACACAAAAAATAGTACAGAGAAAAGTAATTGTAGTATACATTTTATTTTTCTAACATTTAAAATTTTGAAATATATAAAAGCTAATAAAATATTATATCTATATAATTATATATTTAAAAACTATAAAATATAAATGTTTTATATAACTAACTTATTGCTATGAAATAATCTAGCCACAATCACAGATTAATAAATGTAATAACGAGAAAAGGCGTCGCGAACTGGAAAATAATTATATCGAGCAATTGTCCGAGTTTTTACAACTCAACAAACGCGGTGATACAGCCTCAACGAAACCAGACAAGGCAGCAATATTGAACCAAGTAGTAAAAACGGTAAGTGAATTTTCAAATACCATTTTAATGCGTATAATTGTGTGTATGTATGTACATATGTAAATACTAAGCTTATACTTATGTATAAGTGGGCCAAATGGAGTCTTYAATTATATATTTTCTTCAAATAACGTTATTCGGAAATCATCGACCATAAATCAGTTGGCAAAATGACATGAGGTGGTAGTAAGAAATAAGCAAATATTTTAAATTTTTGAATGAATTCAAAATGTTGATGTTAATTAAAAATGTTTTGAAAGAGAATGGGGTTGATTCGAGCAAGGAAATATTCTATGGTGGTAGTCATACAAACTTACAAGGTGTCAGCTCAAGGCTCGTTCATACAGGACACATTTATTGTGACAACTTGAAATTTGTAGACGAGATGGTGATGAGTAAAGATAAGTTCCCGAGAATGTGCAACAAAAGCTTTCACGTTCAATTAAAGGTCGGTATGTTTACAGCATTACTTTTTTATACTCTTGCAACCATTTGCTACAGAGTATTATAGTTTTGCTCACCTAATGGTTGTACGTATCACCTAAAACAAATCGAGATAGATAATATAGATATATATAGATGTTTACATAAATATAAATGATCAAAATGACGAGAAAAGTTGAAATGTCTTTCTGTCCGTCCGTCAGTGCAAGCTGTAACTTGAGTAAAAATTGAGATACCTTATTTGAAACTTGGTTCGTAGTTGAGTCTTATCGAACCACTGCCACGCCTACAAATCGCCATTAACCGAAAACATATAAAATGCCATAACTAAGCACTAAGTTAAGATATAAAGCTGTAATTTGGTACAGAGTATCGCAATAGCATGGGGTACCTGTGGGAAATTATTTTTAAAAAAGTGGGCGTGGTCCCGTCCTCTAACAAGTTTAATGGCAAGTATATCTCCTTAACCACTTGTTACAGSAACCAAATTAGCTGAGTAGAAATAAGAATAAGAACTTCTACCGACAGTGTGAAAATGGATGTAAACGAAGGATAACTCCATAACAACCACGCCTACTTCCCATATACACACCTTTAATTTCCAAGTGAAAGCACTCCAGTACACAAATGAAGAAGCAATTAATCTAACGGGATAAAACTTTGCACAAATAATGCCGTTAGTATGTGCCACCTTATGACCAAAAATTTTTTAAATTCAATAAAAACTGTTCAAGCCCCTGGGTACCGAACATTTAGACTGCGATACGTATAGCTGACCTTTGGTCGAAAATCTCTGTCAATGTGTGATATACATATATACTGAGATTAAGGGATAATCATTATCTTATAATGGTATGTTTGTATGTCAAAAATTGGTTCCTTTAACCCCCATATACTTAATACATGGATATTCGAACTTCCGGGTGACTTTGAACCGCATATGAATACCGGTCAATTTGTGAGTTACGAAAATAAGAGAGCGCGTTTTGCTCATAAAAGTRTATGTTTGTGCCCAAAATTGATAAATTTGAACGAAAAATTGGCATAGCCCCTATGTAACTAATATCAGGATTTTCGAACATCTTAAATTATTTCCCTGCCTTTGATTCTTGCAAGTTTCAAAAGTATAAAATGTTCGGTTGCACTCGAAACTAGCCTTTCCTTATTTGTTCAAATTATATTGATCGAGTTATATTCCACTTGTTAACTTTGGTTAACTTCACCAAAGAAACATGTAAATAATTATAAATAATTTTTTTGGCGAAAATTGCGAAAATTTCCTGTCCCCACTATAATGTAATATATGAACATAAATAAATATARTTATCTAAAATTATATAATTAGAAGATATGTACATATTATTAAAAACTTATATGTAAACAAATAAGGAAAAACTAAGTTCGGGGGCACCGAACATTTTATACTCTTGCAACGTGCAATAATCAAAACCAGGGAAATACCTTAAAGGGTAAACCGTCAACCAGAGGATCGGAATCCTAGTAATTATATTCTTATGTACATAGTTGAACTTCCTTAACTCGAATCACCATAATCCACAAAAAAAACTTCGAGTTATGGAAGGAAATTTGTATGAAATTTGACTTCTATTACCAATTCAAGAGTTTGTGTTATGCATGTTCAACTCTATATATGAATATATAATAATATTATACTATATATATTATACACATACCCTGAGGGTAGTATTGACCACATTTTATCTATTTTAAAACTAAAACTTCCTTCTATTAACCTGCCAATCATATGGAGTAYGTTTTCGCCCAATTATTCATTTTGGGCACAAAGATACACTGTTTCAGTAAAACACGTTCTCTCATTAACATAGAGATAACTCACATGCTGGCCGATATACATATGCGGTATAAATTCACTAGCAAGTTTGAAAATCGATGTGTTAGGTTAGGTATACGGGAAGTAAGTGAAGTATTGACACGATTCAACCCCTTTTTGACACATAGACATACCATTGTCAGGAAAATATTATTCCTGAATTTGAATTATATATCACACACATTGACCGATATTTTTGGTGGTGAGTCTCATCGGAGAAAACCATACTTGCCTGAAGAGTAGCAATATTTTTATTATTTCGATCGGTTCTTTGTCTTATTGGTACTTGAACAATATGTAAACTCTTGCTTCTATCTTTTCATGATGAAATTGTAGAAAATACTAAATACAATGGAAAAGAAATACAGATTATGGCATATTAAAAATGAACTATAGTATAATATTAACCAGTTATTTGTGTAAAACATCTTTTTTTGTCTGCATCAAAAACACATCGCTTGAATTTAAATAACAAAATACTATAAATTATTATTTTTTTTATTAAAAAAAGCTATTTTAAAAGGCGCTGTACTCTCGCAATCATGAATGTCCTCTTAAGAAAAGTCACACAAGTGTATTGTATTTCTAAGGGATAAATATACCCATAATAAACAATGTTGGTGAACGTCGTATATTCTTGCATAAGTATGATTTAACACATACTTATATATAGCTTATTTTGTTGCTCGCATTCATTTGTTTCAGTGAGGTACACCACCACTGATTTATACTTATCTCAATATTTCTCTACATATATTTTTTTTATTCTTCTGAACATGTGCTGTATTTATTCTCTCATCCTCTTTGTCAAAAAGTTTGTAACAACATTGCAAAATATAATAGGTGAAGAATACAATAAAGGAAACTTAAAAAGACTTTTTCCAATCAAATAACAACAAAATGAGCAGATCAACGAACTATATATGTATGTACATGTGTACGTACATGTATGTTTATTCCGCTGGGCTTGTTTTGAGTGTTTAGAGGTGCAAAGGTGTTTATTTTTGTTAGCGTTTCTTCTTTTGGCAATATTATTGTGTATTACATACTTTAACTAAATTTTCGTGTTCATTAGAATATCGTTGGTGTTTTTGCTCTAAATGATGAGTGCGGTTTTTTTTATTAAGATTGCATGTTTTTGATAGTATTTTGTTTGTATATCATTCGATATCATATTAATTTACTTAAATATCCTCAAGGGATTATCAATTTTATAAATATTTATGTATATGTGGGCATAAGTTAAATTTACACAGTTCTGCAATTCCTCTTTCGCCTTTCAGTTGAACGGATACCGGCTCCCGCAAGCTTTATCCAAAAAGCTCTATTGTTTCATCCATATACTCTTACTATGAGATGCCGGCTACCTAAGCACCATAATCGTCATTGCTCTGGTTGTGCAAGTTAATATGAGAAATTATATATATTCAAGCTCATATGGCTGCATATGACATCATTACATAATTTTTATTGTTGTTTTTACTAAATAAAAAGTGGGTTCGAAGAAAATTAAAAATCCCTGACGACTTGGGTGATATTGTGTAAATAAAATAATAATGTTTTTAAGGTTTTATTATTAGACGAGTGATACTAATATTTGCTTGATATCAATTATTCAGTTGTTAAAAGTTGAAATGCGGTTGCTCTTTAAAATATCGCAGTTTCAAAAAATAAGTAACATATAGTATTACTCATTATGCCTGTTTCATTATCTTCCTATTTGTAGTTATAGTTTCCTCGATAATCACATATACGTACATATATGTATGTACATATCTACACATGTATAGTATGTACATGGATACATATATTTGACGTAATATATACACTTTAATTACCTTCGCTTCGTGTATACGTCGACTCATTGTCAAAGTTGTCGCCATCATTGTGTTGTATCGTCAGCATTGAATGTATTTCATCGTTCTCAGTTTGCGATTGTTCGTTGCTTCAACAGTTGTTTTTGCAAAGATATCTCTTATGTGGGTTTAATTTTTGAGGTTTTTTTGTTTGGTAGTGGAGCTTCATGAGGTAGATCTCACTTTGCCTTAGTTTACCATTCGCACTCCCTAACGTTATAATGTTTTAAATCTTCTCTTATTTCGTTTCGTTTGTTCTTGTGTACATGCTGATTCTTTATTTGTTTTTGTTATGATTGCGTTGATCGGTGCAATATTTTTCGTTTTCACAATGTGCGCTTTTCTCTTTTTCTTGCATACTATAAAATTTTAATTCATTCGTTGTAGAGGTTCGAAATCGTTGAGAGGTTGCAGCGGCAAATATAGTAGAAAAGAAACTATTTGCATATATTGGCCCAAAGAGTAGCTAAACAAAAATAATTATAAAGATTCTATGAAGGCATAATACATATTTATTTTATTTTAATTTACAACCAAAGGTTTCTATAACTGGAATTAAACTTAACTATTTTGTACTTTGCAAATAGTAACAAGTTTTTCATAGTCGAGTTGGTTAAGTGTGTGTGTGTGACTCGTGGCCCAGACAAAGTCTAAAATCGTAGTTTTTTCCAACAGTGGTTGTTCTTCAGAAGGAATGTCAAATTTTTGTATGATTTAGCACATAAGAAATGTACAATTTGATTTATACTTACTCCATAAATAGTCAAATAACATATATAAACATTTTGAGATCCTTGTACATATGTATGTACGTATGAGAAGAATGCATATGTGGATTCACTTTAAACGATTTTAACCGTAAACATTATTTATTTATATAATTTTTATTAATTTAATGTCCTTTAATTACACATATTTTCTCAAAGTCCAGTTAGATTAATACAATACATTCCACAGAAAATTCCTGTCTCGTCATTGGCTTATAACTATTTCTATTTTTTCAGTATCGTGAGTTTTGTGACAAGGGCCAAAGCCGTGATATTTCTTCCTCAACGTCGACTAATGCTTCTCAAGCTCTCAATTCGGCGACACCTAATAACAACAATAGCAGCTCAACTTCTAAAAACAACGATAATCGAAATAATACAGCATCTACACGTTGTTTACGTTGTGCAACTGACAATTGCTCTATCCATCCAGTACAACAAGGTGACGTTTCATCGACCGAACCCCCATTGCCGGAGCCATCGCTGCTTAACGGTCAGGTGCCCGAAATATCTGCATATTTTGAGGCGTTGGAACATTACCTCTCTTCAGTCGATTGGGTGCTTTTACAAGTCACTGCAGACGGGATAATCGAGTCGTGTACGCAGAATATACGAGAACTAATCGGCTATGACAAACATGAACTGTTTCGTAAACCACTATATCAGTACCTACACTCCGCCGATCATGCGAAATTAGATCCAATTATAAATAATATGCCGTATGGGGTTAGCGGAATTGCAACTGGTGACATTGCATGTGGTGGCGGTAGCCAAAGTGGCTGGAATGATTTGGAAGATGCGAATAGTGGTACAAATTCGCAACATTCAACAGCTTCGTTAGGTCCAGGAAGTGTTAAAGCTAAAAGAAATATAGCAGCTAAAGTCCGAATGCTAGTGAAAGATTTGCGTTCGGCTACTCAAACATCTATGATGCACCAAAACGATGCTTTGGATCAGAAAACTGTCGGACAACACATAAACCCCGAAAAATATGAGGAAGTTATGCTGCTAGCAACACCGATGAAAGGTAGGATGTTAGTTGTTTAAGTTTTTCATTTGCTAATTACATACATTTTAGACGATGGTGATACAACGTCCTCCATATTGTGTTTGATTACCCGTCCCGAAGATGAACCGGCCATACAGCAGATACAACCGCAGGCCATAGAGCATTTAACCTTTAAACTCGACGTACACGGCAAGATACTCAATTTGGATGTAACCGCACTTCGTGAACCCTATCGTCAACATTTGAGTAGTTGGTTGGGACGCCTTTTGCAGGATCTTTGTCATCCGCAAGACTTAAATGCTCTGAAATCACACTTACGCGAGGTTCAAGAGTCAGCTGCATCAGTCCATTTGATGAACTCTCCATCATCACACTCACCTGGTGGAACGCCTGCAACACTCATTCATCCTCCCATTGCGAATGTGATGTCGCGTCCATTTAGATTACGTCTTGGCGCACCCGACGTTTATGTCCATGTTAAGGCGAATTCACGACTTTTTTTAAATCAGTCGCAAACTGAGGGCGATTATATTATGTCTCTGCAAACATTACTTAACACGGATAACGATATAGGCGGAGGAGGTATAAGTGGATTGAACATTGGAGGTATCGGGAACAGTAGTATGATGCCATCTAGCAGTTTGTCAACAATGTCTCCTAGTCCATCGTTAGTTTCGCCCCTTTCTCTGCCCTTGGACTCACTTGTTAATAACAATTCGTCATGCTCTTCTTCGTCGGCCTCAGCTTTAGCAAGTGTAAGTAGCGGTGTGCATATGTTAGGAGGACTAGTTGGAGGTGGTGGTATGCCACCACTCACCACGCAAACTACTAATGTGGGTGGACCACTGATGACTTCAGCTGTTATCAATGGTACAGGGAGTGGTACACAACGTAACAATCCTGCTGTGTCAACATCGGCATCGACTTCGAATAATTCCAATCTGGTGAACTCGTTTACTGCATCGCCTGCTGGACCCGAAGCAACGATTTTCTATAGTTCCGACCCCTTTGATTTTGACTTGGCACATTCCAGTTTTGAAATGGACGCCACTGGTTGGACGGATTCACGTCCAAACTCTCGCGCTTCTGTTACTACCCCAGTAAGCACTCCGCGTCCACCGTCAGCGGGACATGGTTTCAGTCCGGCAGTATGTGCTTCACCATCGACACCATATCAACTGTCGTCACACTCAGCTGCGAGCTTGCCTTCTCCTCAGTCAAATGCAAGTCAGCCGTCATCTGCTGGTCCCGGGGTTAGTGGAGGGCCTTTTGGTTTTGGTTTTCCGGCATTCGAAACAGGTGATAAAAATAATGATAAAGACCACATGAACGCTAGCATAAACAGCACTAACAGCATAAGTGGCAATAATTCTGGACCTCAAAGTGGTTCCAGTGGTTCGTTGAGCGGCCCTGCAAGTTTACCAAATGGTGGTCCGCCATTACTTACCACTGTTGCTAACATGACTCAACTATCTGCACAGCCGAATCCACCCCAACCGGAATCAGAGCGTTTACGACATTTATTGACAAATAAATCGCATTCAATGACCTCAGGAATGAACCCGGCCGATGGTGATAAAGATCATCTTAGCCTGCGCCATAAGGTGAGTTTAGAGTTATATACATAAATTGTCTTTGCTCATAAGATAATATGTAGTTTGCAAGGAGGTATTATTTATGCGATATTTTTGATCTCCCAAAAGTTTTACAATCAGAGTCTACTCAATCCCGATGAAGATAAGGATGGTGGAGGTGCCGGCGGTAGCAACAGGGGTTCGTCCGGAATGTTCAAAATGGGCGCTACTGGTATATCGAATGCGCGCCTATTTGGTGGTGGTGCATTACCAAAATCTTCGAACTCCAGCAATCCCATGTTACTGTCGGTAAGTAAGGCCCCACCATCCCTTTAAACCATTCACTTATCTGCCATATTCTATCAGCACAAATGTTTGAGTACACTCATGTACTTGAATTGGAATATACAGATTTTTTTTTCTGAATATATTTAATACAGCTGCTTAACGAAAAATCGGAGGATGATGAGGGAAAAGGGCCTTCGCTTGGTCGACAAAGTGAATTGATGCGTCAACTACAAAAGGACGATGGTCACTATAGTCATTCACACGGTCATAGCCACGGGCAACATCACTCCAAGGACATGTCGCAAGAGGATTTACTAAAAAGTTTAAAGTACCAGGGTGATCCTACAACTCGCAAGCGTTCACTCAATGAACCGGATGATGGCATATTAGCAAAACGTGAAAGTGACCGCCCATCCAAGTTACGTGAGAGCAATAAAATGCTTGCCTCGCTATTAGAAAATCCGCCAAAGAATCCTATAGTCACTGTACCGCCTCAAGTCAAAACTATACCTGACATAGCACCTTCAGCAAGCCGTGTCAACTCGACACTCGGTGTTATGAGTGTTTCAGCGCCGAATAGTCTAGTTGGCATGCCTCCAAAAAGCGGCACAATGACGACGACCTCATCAATTAGTGCAGGAGGCAGTTCTGCCGGAGCCGGTGTACGGAGCAATAGTATGCGCAAACAATTTTCCGATGCCTACCTCACGCTGCATCAGCAGCAACATCAGCAACAACTCCACCTACAACAACAGCAACAACAACAACAATGTTTAGGTAACATTCAACGTTCTTCACATCAGCAGCCAACACAACTATCTCAACCGCAAATAAACTTTGCTTCATCGGACGCCTTCGGAGTATCTTCACATAACACCACAGCTACCTCAGGGACAGCCAACGTCACTGCGTCAATTGTGACGTCACAAGCAAACTCCCAATTAGCCGCTCCTAGCGGCGCTGATGGCGATTCAGAATTATCTAAGATTTTGGATAGCGTTATGGACTACGTTTCAGACGATGGGCCATTTGTATCAGCACCTACTCCCACTGCCTTGGCTGGATTAACGCAGCAAGAGATTAATGAACGCATGGCTATCAACGCTATTCAAAATTCATTGATGGTCGAGACATCTCAACTGCAACAGCAGCAACATCATCAACAACAACCGAAACCGCCAGCCTATCCAGGCAACATAATGGGGAGTGGTAGTGGAGGGAGTTTAACTCAGCAACAACAACAGCTACAGCTCCAGCATCATCTGCAGATGTTGCAAAGGCAGCAGGCTGCAATTGGAGGCAATCAACAGTCAACTCAGGTACAACAAATGTTGGAGGTATTACGTGTCAACGCCAATCAAAGCTTCCAACGACCCCCACCTATGTATTCGGCGTCGCGTAACAGGGGCCCAATGAATACTGTTACGACACCTGGAGGCTCTGTTTTGCCAGCGCACCAGCAGTATCGAATTCGTCAACAGCAGCAACAACAACAACAACAGAAAGAGCGTCTTCTTCAGCAACAACAAAAGCAACAGCTTTTGGTTCCAGAGAGTGCAACAGCGCGTACAGATCAGTTATGTGCGTAAAAAGAATAATTACATGTATTTTATATTTAATTATACTATCGTATAGGCCTAAATCCGAACATCAATAACATTGGTTCGCTTTTAAATAACACAGTAGCGCCAAATGTCGCCTTGTCTCGTACCAACTTGCCGCCCGATTCGCAACTGAGTCCGAATTTTGCACAGAATTTACTTCAACAACAACAGTTAAGTCCAGGGCAACGTAATGCACAATTTAGTCCACAAACGAATGCAGGTTAGTTACCAGCATTTAATTTTTGATTTTAGCGTCACATGTATTTTATCACACTGTACCTTGTAGGTTATGCACCGCAATATTCACAAAGCGGACAACGTCTATCGCCCCATCATCAACAGCATATTTCACAGCAGCAACAACAAGTGAATGCTCAGCAACAACAACAGATGGCGTTTCAGGCTGCCCAAGCAGTAAACGCTAATGTCACTCCGCAGCTATCACCACGCCAACCGCCTTTTGGTGGAGGAGCAGGTGGTGTACAATCACCTTCAGGCATGCCTTCATCACAACAATGGAATGCAAGTGGTAATGTTAGTACGCCAAGCGTACAATTAAGTGGAAATGTGACAACTCAACGCGGTCATTCATTACAACAACATAATCCTATGTTAAGCGCGCAGTTACAAGTTAGTGAATAAAATTTACCTTTGAATACATTTTTTTATTTTTTTGTATTTCCTTTAGCAGGGTGTTAGTCCTTATACAACACGTCCGTATCAAAATCAGCGGCGAAGTCTCAACTCTCCAAACGGAGGAGGTGTATCTGGCAATGCAGTTACAAATAATATCGGAACTAATGTCGGTCTGCAGCGGCAAAATTCTTTTCAAGGTGCTGAATCTGGTGGTTTTAGTGGTGGTACCTCAAATTCTCCATCTCCACAGTCACCATATGGTGGACCCAGCTCAAACGTATTCCAGCAACAACAAATGCAACGAATGCAACGCCAGAGTAGCGTTCCGCAAACTACCCAACATTTACCTGGTATGTGAAAACATTTATAGTAATTAAAAATTGTTATATTATTAATATTTACATCAAAGAGTAATAACATAGAGAATGTCCGTTATCTAACGTAGGTTTGTAGGTTTCTAATTGACAGATTGTTTTTAACCAATACTGTTTATCTGGTGAAAGTTGTTATGCCAGAAGCAAAATACTTTATAATTTCTGCATCCTTCCATTTGCTTCTGAATATTCTTTGTGTAATAATTTTGTTTCTGATAACGTTTTTTTTTTTTTTGTTTGTAAAACTAACTACTAAAGAATGAGGTCAAAACTTTGTAGGCTAGTAAGGTGGAAACATCTTTAGCTCCAACATATTTATAAAGTTTTGATATTGGTACTGAATGTCCGTCCATTTGATTTTTTTATGTATCTCTCATAATGATGTCAGAGTTGTACTCTAAGAAAGGATGTGTAAAGCTCTTTAATATGTATATATTGAAAAAAGATTTGAGAAGCATTCTAATTCACATTTAATTTAGTGTTAGTAAGTAAACAATAATAATTATATTACTTAGACTTCTGTACAAAAGTACTTGTATATTATTCAATTGAATAACGTTAAATTCATTGAGTTTGAAAATGTGAAAATAAGTCTCTGAAATATTTTGTTTCCTCGTGCGCTTTTTAGTAAGACTATTTTCGATTTCGAACACAAATATATTCATTCTTCTTTGTAAATTGTCCATTTAATTGTTTTTTATAAAATCTTAGACATTCTGACTGAAAAATATGTTATTTAAATTTAAATATATTATTCAGTACGGACAAATTGTCAAAATATAAAAGTTTCATTAAATTTGTCCGCATTGGAATTAACGGGACATCAAGTTTTCAAGCTTATCTGTGTATATCAGTCGGCACGGAAGTGATCACGATATTGTTGGTCTCATAGATAGATTCACATTTTGTTCACTTGTGTCTCTGTCTATTAAATATGTGAAAACCACTCTAATGCTTACAATAAATATTTAAATTTATTAAACTGAACACAATAATAAATCCTGCACACAATTCATCACATAACAAAATCGAATGCATACTTAATTATTAATTGTAAATTAAGCTGTCATAATCAAAAAGGGGGTTTCTCGTCCGAGGCTGTTATTTCCTCTTGGGGGTTTTTTATGTGGAGGGTCTTAAATCCAGAACACAACCCTAGGGAGGGATGGTTCACTTTCTCACTTTAGCCCGCCTTCAAACGGATGATCTTTGGCTACTCAGAGTATACTTGGTCTAAGTACGGAAATCGTGAGCCATATGTAAGATAATACTTTCTGGCCACTCCCAAATGAATGGCACTCAAAGAATTTTCCTAATTTGCATGAACTTCAACACATGACTCACTCCTCTTGTAGAACCCCCTGAGGTGATCTAGTGACGCATGTCCAGAGTATATTAAAATTATGAAGGGTACACTTCTCCAGCTTGCTGAATGTCAGTGAAAGCATAAAGCCAGGAGATAGTGAACCTGATTCCCCAATTGATGATGTGCAGACGTTCAGACGCTCCATTGACAGACCATGAAATCGAATAGCAATTACCCGTCTGAAGGACTACAAAGCAGCGAGGGTCGATGTATTGCCGGTCGAGCATATTCACGCATTCATACTCAAACTTTTTAACGTGGTGTCTATAGACCACTTCTAGAGAATATGAGCACCGCAAACTAATTTCCAAGTTTTACAAAATAATGATTTTTTTCTATTGTCGAATAATTTTATATATCACAACATTTTTTTTTTAATTAGTTAATACTTTCAACTTTTTATGACGCCGTGGCGTGTAACATACATATGACACTACGTTTTATTTAGAAAATACATGTTTTTCAATGCAGTGGAATATGAAAGCAGAGTGTTAAAGAACTCAAAAATTGTTTTTTCATTTGTGTCATATTATGTTCTATATCTGACATTAAATTATACAATTTCTGTACAATTATAATTTCTTCTATATGTTCAAGCACATTCCTCGATTTAGCTCATTTTATCTAAATTTGACGGCATGAAAATGTAGTCCAATTGAAAATGCATTACTTCAAAACAAAGCCCTGCAAAAAATAAAGAACTGCCAACATAGCCGACATTGTCGCAAAATTGTCGATTCAATGATTTTTGTTAATGTAGCGACGATTTATACATTTCGGCGGTAATATAGTATATGTGTATATTTATGTACATAGTTGTCGTGGGTATGGGAATCAATGATCATCGACGATCATTTGCTCATTTTTCACAATTCAATTTTTTTTCTCCGCTCTGTCTTCTCGCTTGCCATGCTTTGAGATATTTGAACTTAAACTCGACTTGTACTGGTCTCGCTTCAATTATATTGAGAAATACAGATACATTGTGGTTTATTTAGGTGATAATATGATATACAAATACGCACCAACTTTTAAATTTTTTAACTATAATTCATTAATAAAATTGCTAAAAACTAATGGGCCTATGCATTTATGAAATGAATATGGTAACATTTATAATTAAATATTAAAAATAAAATTTAAGTTTTATCGATTTGATCAATAGACCGTAAATGCCACCTACGCCACATCGAAAGTGAGAACGAGGTCGCCTTACCAACTGTTTGTTTTTTTTTATTACCCTTTACTCAATAAGCACATTTGCAAACTCTGATGCTTTTAACAAAATTTTTTTTTTTTTCAAAGTCTATTTCTAAATTTAGCCTTTACTTCTCTGATATTTTTTGTAATATTATAAGTTTTGAAATAACACAGAAATTGTAGGCGCAAATCTATATAGGGCGCTTGGCTAATTCATTTGAGAATATTATGTGTATCAATTTAAAGATTTATTAACCATACCACTCAATGCGTGGTGTATTTTTCGTTTCAAAGTTGTGTTTTTCAATATTCCCTAGTGTGAAAACTACAAATAAGTACTTAAAAAGATTTTTATCAAATGACGAAGATACAAGACATCAATTTCAACCTTTCCTTTTCTATTACCATTAAAATTTAATTCAGCGACTTAAAAACAATTCCCAATTACTTAAAAACATTAATTTAGATTTTAACAAAATTTTATTTTAACACTTTTTTTAATTTTTACACTTAACATTAGAACTAAAAATATTAATTTTTTTTAATGTCTGTAAGATTTGTAATAAACAACTAAAAAGAAATTAGAAATTGTGTTAATGAAAAATAATTGTTTGATGGAAAAATTTCTGTTGTTGCCGAATTAATAACTGCTTTACGCATGGCGAAGCAACAATTGGTATCTAACTTAAGTGATCATCTCAATGTGACCATTAGGCAAATCACTGATTTTCGCGATTTTTAATGTTGAAATTAACTAATCGGTCCGGTTTTTTTATAAATAAATTAAAAATGTTCTTTCCAAATTGAAACTAGATATCTTCAAAACTTTTCCTTTGAGAGTGGAAACCGTTTTGAAATACACCATTCTGAGAAAAACGCGTTTAAAAATTGGAGTCGCAATGTTCTCCACTAATCTTATAAAGCAACAAATAAAAACGATTTTTCGAAAATTGCGCACTAAAACGATCCCTGAAAGATATAAAAAAAAACTTAGTAGACGAATAAATCAAAAATTTGACAATTAAATTTTGGATAAAAAAATACTGGTTGCTAGTAAATAAACGCTAAGGCTGATCGAACTACATAAATTGTATGTTATCGAAATATTCGTATTACCTTAAATGTGATATATTATATATTGAATGATGAAATCTAATTTTGCAAAAAGAGGTATTCTTTAAAATTTTAAACCTGGAGGATATGTATGTTTCAAATATATGTTTTAAATTAAAAAAATACACAAAAAATATACAAAGCGACTATTTATTCGTATTTGCTTTATTATATTAGTTACTCAATAAACAGTAACCGCAAAGGAGAGTACTGAACCGATTTTAGTCCTCCACATTTATTTATTATAATTTATAAATCTATGTTATTAGAAAAGTTTTACTATTAGAAATATTTCTGAATACGTCCAGTAAATATAGTTTTGAACTTAAAATGCAAATCTCGTATTAACCCAAAACAGGCTCTCCACGCCCTTTCATTGCGAATGTAAATCACGAAAATATTTTAGGTACAAGCGGCAATGGCGCCGCCACAAGCCTCGGCGTAAATGGCGGTGTCGGCGTCGGCGGGAGTGTCGGTATTGTTGGCTTTGGTGGCATGATGTACAATAATATGCAGCATGCTGCTCATGCGACCCCACAACAAACACAAAACGAATTTTATGGTCGCACTCAGGCCGGTAAGCGTTTACCAACTTGGAATATAAAGTAATATATATAATTTGTACCATATGTGAATTCCCTACATTTGTATCTAATACAAATATATACACTTTATGTATATAGATGTTAAACTTATGTTCGATCTTTATGTTTATTATCTGGCCGATAATGTAAAAAGGAAGACCATAAACATTTTTTTCATAAAGAATACTGATCTACTATATATAAATTTTGTCGATCTAAAAAATTAGATTTTTTTCCAAACAAGTTTTATTATTTAAATCAAATTGGTGTTCTGGAGTTTATAAAATAAAATAAAATATTTGTATTGAAATCGTTCTGTATTAATCATATTAATGCCTCTATGTGACTAAAAAATAGCCGAAATTGTTAGTATAATGAAATTATTTGCCAACATTTAATTTTTTACATATTATAATAACTCGATATGCGAAACATGCAAATGTGCTCTGAATAATTTATTTATTTAAAAAATATGGTGTATTTGTCAAATTGTTACTTTGATATGAAAATTTTTGATTAGTACCCACCGTTGTTGAGCTCACCCTTTTATTGTATATACTCATGATGTATGTACATAAATGCTTTGTATGCTAGTTATAATTACTAAAATAAATTGCACAAACTTCCTTACTTCCTACATTGTTCTATCTGATAATTTTTACATTCTGCCCGTTAGCTAATGGCTTACGTGAATATATTAAAAAATACGTTATGCATTTCTTTAATTATCTGCACAGATCAAAATCGTTAGTTCCTTACAACTTTCAATAAAATTGTAAAATTTTAAAATGAAACTATATATTGCTTATTTGGTTTATTTATTTGCTTTATTTTTTAAAATATTAATATATTTGATGTACATATGAAATTAAAAGTAATTAGGCCAAGTTGGTTGAAATGGGAAATCGGTAATCGATAATTTTTGGAGTACATTCTTCTTGTGAATTATTGAGAGATAAACCAGCTGGTATGCCTTTCCATTTCTAAAAATAATTCAATTTTATATTTATTTTATAAGAATTATTATTTTATATGTAATAATTTTATCATAGTCATAGTTTAAATAAAGTTGCAGAAATCGAATTCGAACTGGATTCTCGTATTGTAAATAACATAATTTTATTTTGAGCGCCAATCGATGGTAAAACAACATTAGATTAAACGTTCCTTTTTTTACACATTTGTGTTGTTGAGTATGTGATATGTATGCATCGTTATGTATTAAATGGGATTATTTTTTTATTCATACATACAAATCATAATGTATCATGTATACATATCAGAATAACAATATACTAAATGTAAATAATTAGAGTAAAAAATAATGTTTATACATTTTTAATTTATTTTGTCAAATGTCTATTTTTTACTTTGTTTGTTTTTTTCAGCAGGTAATGCAGCAAACTCTTCTGATTTTGTAAAACAGGAATTGCGGAACGTAGTAAGCGTACGTGCTCAACAACAGGCTGCTGCCGCTGGGGGAGCTGGTGCTTCTTCTGGTGGAAACGGAGTGCCAGGTGGCGGCGGAGGAAATGGCGGTCCTGGCGGTCTGCGAATAACTTCCACCCCGCAAAGTCCCTTGAGCAGTGCTCAACAGGGACCAATGAGTGGTAGCAATTCTGGAGGTTTAAATAGTACAAATTCGCTTAGCATGCAACAACATCAATCGGGGTCAATAGGAACTGGTGTTAGCCAAAATGCACTGCTTAATACACCAGATCCTTCCATGAACTTTAGCTTCGATGCACGTAAGTAACCAAACATAATTATTCAGAGAATTCATAGTTATCAGGTTTAAAAACAGAAAATGTATAATGAGTGACAAACTACATTATTGATATAGAATGGGTGCAGAAGAAGTGCATGCTTATATTTTGAAATAAAAACTTATTGAATAATATTATTAACTTATCTTTGGCAGAGCTGAATAATAATTTGATTTTTAATCTAAAAGTTCATTAATCATAATAGAAATTTAAGAATTGAGTTTTGAATAATATTATTAACTTAACAACGTATATAAATCATCTTTGGCAGACTATTTGATTCGTAATCTAAAACTTCATAATATATTCATAAATTATTAAGTAGGGAATAATGAAAATAAATCTTCGTATTACAATTTTCGGCATATTTTAATTGCAGAAGATTTCTTTGGCAACAATTCTACAAGGTGACCATAAAAAGTCTGGAATTCAATGTACACTACTAATAACGGCCGTCAACAACTCAACAATAAAAATAACTGCATATTGACATGAACGAAAAAATATATGAAGTAATATTATATTTAATAATATGTATATAGCAACCATGAAATTTTCATTATTTTCTTGTGTTAACAAACATTTTTTTTCAATTATAAACATTGGAGGCAAAAAGAGAAACATGTACCTAGGTGCAATAGAATCTTAGCATTTATTTACATAATACTGTTACAAATATATCAAAATAGCTAAAAAAATTGAAGATGTGTTAAATATATGTATATGCATACAATTACGTAAATATAAAATAGAATTTTGCATGAATATAGGATTTTTCATATTTCGTTTCATGAAAGATACCAATACAAAACCTTATTAGGACCTCGAGACCAATAAAAAAACTTGTTAAGAACCACAAATATGCATAATCGAATTACAAGCTGATACGTCTTATTGGATATAACGTATCTACATACATATATGAAAATTACCGAAAAGAAATTAAATCCTGTTGTCATCAGTTCAATAATAACAAAAATTAACTGTAGATACTAAAAACATAGCGCGTATTGCAAACAAATTTACGGTGGAAAAGGAAAAATTGCTATTAGTGGAAGCCTGATTGAGGTGGAATGGCCAGATTAAATATAATATAATAAAAGGTGTAATTAGAAAGAAGAACATAAAACAAAAATAAAATGTAAAAGAATTATATTGGGTGAAACGACATTAATTACTTAGTAAAGAAGTGTTAAAATTTAAGGACGCATCTGTGTATATACTATATTATACAAATCTTTCAAAAATAATTACATTTTTTCAAGTGAAAGTTGAGGAAATTAATTAATTATTAAGCGTTATGTTTAAGTACATAATTCTTATAAAACACTATGGAAAGTAATGTTTAAAGTTTTAAATATTTCGAACTGTAAAACAGTCAAGTTTAATCCAATAAGCATATTAAATTAAGGGGAAACGGTAAACGATTTTGTTATAAAAATATTTACACTGACTATTTTGCACCGCACCAACTAAAAATATTAATTTTTCGAAAAAAATTTAAATTTAAATTTCAATTGAATTTATAAAATTATACTACAAATCTGCTACAAACTTATAAACAAGCATAAAGTTTCAAACAAAGAATGCAGTGATATATCAAAATAATTCTATTATATCGCAAAAGTATACAAATTGTAGATGAAGTAATTGAAAATTGTACTTTGTACAATGCAAATAATAGGCAATAGTTACGTTGGCATAGGAGACGGTAGAAGAAAAATAGCCAAAAATTATAAAGGAAGATAAGCATTTTATGAACAACGTTCTTTTATAAAAAAAACGTGTACCCATAAATACGCTTCAAAAACTCATACATATACATATAATTACTAATTTTCTAATTCCAAAAAAATGTTTATGTTGTTCAAATTTTGAATATGTGATTGATTTTGTTTCCAATATTTTTATTTTTTTTTTCATTTATAAAATAGAAAATTTTCACTGGATGATTAGAGTAGGAAAAATATACATAATGCACAGTTGTGGTTACTAATCGGTTATGATTTTAATATTTTTATTTAGAATTAAAATATACATAAAAGGCATTTTCATTTAATAAGTTTAAAGCTTGTCCCTGGGTCATCTTGCAAAATGTTGTCCATTAGTGTAAAATTACTTCCTGAAATGCAGTCAGATACTAATGCACTAGATACTACGTATAAGAAGATGAAATCTAACTTTATTTTTGTTTCCATTTCATATATATTGATTTGAAGTCAAAAAAAATTGTTTGTTATTTGAAATGTTTTTTTTTCTTTTTCTGTAATTAAAAAAATACGAAAGAGGATAATTTGATTGTGAGATATTAGTCCAATAAATACATATAGCATGTAATTTACCCAATATTGTTGTAAAATAAAAATAATAGACGTAAAAACCTAGTTAATTGTCTTAGCTTTAGAAAGCCTAATTAATTAAGTGTAATTAACGAGAAGAAAATTAAATTTTTATTATTAAGGTGTTCAGTGGCTAAAACACTATTGTTTGCTTTATTAATTTATTAAACAGGATAAAAAGGGCAATGAAACTTTCAACTATAATATTCATTAAAAATATAAAGAATTCTTACTTGATTTTTGTTAATTAATTTAAAATTTACATAGTATATCTGAAATGCAATGTATTTATGTAGGTGCAGCAACTGTTAAGGGTAAATTATTGTTATTTTTTAATTATATAAAAATATTGTTTTTTTATTAATTACACCTTAAGTTTTTCTACGGATGTAACTCTATATAAAGATATTCTTAAACACGTTGTATACTATAAATAGACACCAAACGTATACTTTTCGTGTCGTTGTAGTTAATAGCAGTAATGTTACAACTTTTAATAATAAAAATTAATAGTAAATTTTTTCTACTACATAAGCCTTTTCCGTTTTTTGTCTTCTTAAGTTTGTAATGCAAATTAATAAAAATGTAAAGTTGATATAATAAAAATATTTCGTGTAATCATTTCTTTTTGATATTCTCTTTTTAGTTTGTTTACAGTTATTATTTGAATTTTCTATTAGGTCAGTTGTAATCTTGGAAGTACGAATGAAACCACATACATATGTAGATTTGAAGTTATCAAGAGAGTTATAGCACTTCATTCTAATTCAAATAGTGAGGTGAGTTTTATATTTTAAAATTTCATTCAATTATTGAATCGATTGTGCGATAAGTAGTATGTACATGTAATATTACATGTATAATAATCCACACAGATTTTTACTTCGAAAAATTAGTTAGAGTTTGATAACGGGGGTCATTCMATAACAGTAAAAATGACTAATTAATAATTTTTTTTAATTCCTGAAAAAGATTTATATCCAATTTGAAATCATAATTTTGTGTATGAGGGGGTTTTCACTGCATTTTATTTAAATACATTCGAGACACTTTGCTTGTAAGTGCATATTATATTTAAACAAAAGAAAAATAACTTAAATATAGAGATTAAATTGAATGAAAAACGAAAGGCGATAAAAGAGAACAAAAAACTCTCGGAAATATAGAAATACCTCTTATATAAGTTCAAATTATAAATTAAATAAATGAAATAATATAAAATGATATAACATAAAATGCATATGATGTAATATAATATAGAACAAAATTATTATATTACCAAGAAAAACGACTTTTAGATATAAATATGGTCAATTTTGACTAAAGTGTAATAAAAAGCATTCAACCCAATTATGAAAACCGACAGATGATTGCGGAGACAATTTTTCATTGTAGTGTGAAAGAATGGCCCATTTCTTTATGTTTGGAAAAATATTTATATATTTCAATACATACATATATGGGTCACAAAAAAGTTAAAGGCAAAACATTGATATTATTATTTCTAAGAGACCACACATACACAATAAGCCAATAAAATACAGTTTATGTAATGAACTAATATTATCATGGTTCATTGCCTCAATTATTCAAACTCAATGAAAGGACGATGAATTAATACGTAGCTAAACAGGTGAAATTTCAGTGAAATTGGTAACGCTAATCGAATTCATGATCGATGTGATCGGTCGGTGTTCATAAGAGGACTGATTACATTTTTTCCCACACAAAAAAATCAAACAAATGAAAAAATAAATTATAATTTATATATACACACTAAATTATGAATACATTCCCATAGTACAGTATATAAACAAAAAATATTATAATAAAAACATTTAATTAAAAATATTAAARATGCACCGTGTAGAACATTCAATTTAAGAAAGTGAAGTAAGTTAAAGTGAATTGATATGTTAATAATTCTGGTTAGTAAATTATATGCTAATATGAAGAGTTAATATAGCGGAAGTAGTTTCATAAAAAGAAATTTACATGGAAAACAGCGCCTTAAGTGCAGAAAATATAAAAATAAGATTAAGAACGAAAATGAACCATTTTTAGAGGCTATGATCACAATTAAGTGGTACAAATGTTTATTCGATTAGTGCATTTTTGTAAAACAAAAAAATAATATATTTACATATGTCAAAAGATAGTTATTAAAATTGAACACTTGAATGTTTGAGCATTGTTTTTTTGTAATCGAACAACAAAACGAATTATCATTTGTGTGCATATGGTATTTGGGTATTATTTGCGAAAAAATAAATACTCAAAAATATTGTAATAATTAAATTCTGTAATTAGACTTATTTATTATTATACGAAAAGTTGCTAAATTTATATGAATCAATAATTACCATTCTCTGAAATGAATGTAAAGARGGTAGGTGGTAAAAATGTATACTAAAGATATAATTGTTATTCAAGTTAAATGACAAACTGTCATTTCTGCGTTCAATATTCGATATTTTCGATTAAACATTATAATCTTATTTTATTAGCTGTTTTATAACTACAGATAATTTGAGTAATAATTTTACATAACAGCATGATTGCATATGGAAATATTAATAATTGACATTTTATGGCTCATGAAATGAGTTTAGCGATAAACCTAAAAATGCGTTATTTTCCTGTCGATTGTTAATATTTCATTCTGTCCCTCTTTTCGTCTTTTTACAATGTTTTTCCTTTTTATGTGAAGAAAACAAAAAAATTTAGAAAGTGAAATTTTCGTGTGTGAATATGTATTCTAAATCCCTATGTCCCTGTTTTCCCCTTCCTACATTGTTTTCCATTTTTATGTGAAGAAACCAAAAAATAATTGAAAAAGTGGAATTTTTGTGTGTGAAAATATATTTTGAATACATAATTAATTTTTTTGTTTGTTTGTTTGTTGTTAATTTGTATTTAGTAGAAAATTTAAAATTTCACTACAAACTTCTTATATTTGTTATAATTATAACACATCCAAGCATAGAATTGATACAAATATTATAAGTAAATGACAAAGCGTAAACGAGCAAAATTATTTAAACGACAAGTGGCATTTACTGTTTTTTGAGACTAATTGTAAGTAGTAAATCTCTTTACACTTTTAACACAAAATGTAAATTTAGTGAGAATTAGAATATGGAAAACCCATACAAATAATTAAGGGAAATAGTAAAGACCAGAACTTATAAATATTAGGTAATAATTTCATAAAACTGCTATGAAAAATGCAAACACAAAAATTTATATATGTATATTAGTACTCAATTTTCAAACTTTTATATGTTTTCATAATTTCAATTTGAATAATTATTATTTAAATACCAGATCAAATGTTTGTATTAAAAATTTTCTCGCAAAACAATAGGTTAATTTTATGTATTTATCTACATAATTATAGTATAAAATACTACTCTATAATTTTACAAACACAAAACCATTTTTAATAAAAGTCCTAATATATGATAATAATAAAAAGTCTGGCGACTTGATCTTTCATATATACATAAATATACATATATCTGTTTTTATTTTGTACAATATCAGTACTTAACTTAAACAAATATTCGAAATGCTATTACATTTAAGTATTGTTAATTACCGAAAGTTCAACCAGGTTATGTACATATATAGGATTTTATACCTGAGACGATTAGAAAAAAAAAAAAACGCATGTAAACCTGCGAAATAACAAACTCATAAAAACTGACAAATTTTAATGTTCTGTTCTATTTGCATGGCCTACCTTTATGTTCTTTATTACTGAAATAAAAGAAAAACGAAAAGAAGTACCAAATATGTATTGTTCTACACATTGCTGCCTGTCGAAAAGAAATAAACAAAAATAAAAATATACAAAAGTGTAATCGTATAGAACATTGCAATTAACAATTTAAGCACTTATGTATATACTTTTTTAAATAAAAAAACACTATATGGTAACTATACAATAATATTGAAAAATTAAAATATAATTTAAATGCTAACAATGTAATGTGTACATAAAAGAACATAAAATAATTGCATCACAATCTCAAAATAATTTGGCTTGAATTAAAACAAAACTCAATTCGTACTACATTCGATATATATATATATGCTGTATATACAGTATACAAAATATATAAACAAGTATTTACAAAGTTAATAGTCAATAGATCCCTCGAATTTCGCAATTCATTGCACCAGAAAATATATACATTGATAATTATAATTAAATAGTTGCATACAAATYAAAAACAACATTCATTTAAGAAAAGGCAATAAAATAGGAGTCGTGGCCAAATAACTATATTTTATATGTAGTAATTCTATTGTTTCTATTTAATAGTTTTCCTTATGATTTGAATAACCTCAATTTACTGCATTGAATAGAAATATTAAA